GGAAAACCTGCGCTGGTTGCTTGCGAACAACAAGAACAGGATGGTTCTCTGATGTGAACATAGCGAGTAGTAGAGCCGTGCTGAAAGGTGCTGTATAGAGCTAGGTATAGAGCTCATTTTGATTCACCTGCTTTTTGATTATGTAGTGTAATAATTAGAGTATATAGTGCAGTTAATGTGTTACTTCTTCATGGTCTACATCGTGATGCTGTCATCCTTGTGTGATGTACGTGATAATTAAGCAACACGAATGCCTAGATTAGCAACTTATATCTGTTGCCTGCTGCAGCATGTTATTATTGGCTGTAAGCAGGTCTGCTTTTCCTTTTTATTCCTGCGAAAACTTTAGTCCATGGCCACTGAATTAAATTTTGAAATAAATGCGTATTCTGTTTGTATTTATAGTTAAACTAAGTTATTGTCCTGTCGCAACAAGGATGTACGCAGATAGATGACTTTCAGAAACATTCGAGCAACATCTACGAGAAAATCGGGTTCATTTGCCAATTCGAAGAAAAGGAAGGTTTTCGTTTCTACATGTCTTAGTGTGTACGAAGACGGAAATGCCGAGAGAAAGAATTTCTGTAAGAAGCCTGCACCCAGATACGTCAAATGTTGGTCGCACACACCGATATCTGTGAAGGCTGGACTGCCATAAACCGTATATCTGCGAATAAGAAACTGGTTTCCACGACCCTTGTTGTTTTTATAACATGGTTATCTGAAATCAGCATAAATCAAACAGCACAGTAATCCAGATTTATGATGCCTGACCGATAGAAACTGTACTTCATATTTATACTAAGCAGAGTTCACTACTGTTGCAAATGTCACATTTCATTCCTGAAGCAGCTCTGTCTCAGCGACGGTTTCCAGCTTTAATTATTGTTCCCACACGATTGCCTAAGTTCCATTGCGCGGTTCTAAAGCGGAAAGTTTTGAATATATTTTCATTTTCTTTTTGGATTATTTTATCAAACTAACCAAGTCACGTGATAGTTTTCTCAGACCGGTGATGGTCAGCACATGCTCATTCTTTACCATTTCACTTTGAAGATGCTGCTTAGAGACTTGCTGGAAGCTATCCAAGCGAGTTTCACGACGCCTCTCAACGGCAGATGTTTCGATACTCTGCATGAACATCGCTTATAATACGACTGCTTTCAGAATGGTGACCTTCCTGTTCTTTCATGTAATCAGTTTGTTATACAGCTTGCCATAATTCATTGATATCTGCCTGTTACGCCGATTAATTTTAGGGTCAGTGTAGCCACTGTTAGTCAACGCAATTACGAGATAATTGAGAAATGGCCCATCTGTTTCGTTTGTCGCAGTACAGTTCTGTGATATCCTTGAACTACTGATCTTCCCGGACGTTCTCATATTCATCGTCTTTTTGGCGTCCAGTTATAGCTCCACTGTCATAGCAGTATTGCCAGTATTGCACACACCTTTAGTGAGTCTCAGTAGGCTTGTTGAGGGGTCGCTTAGCTGCACAACCTCGTAAATTTAGTCGTCCGTTAGGAATGCGGCCGAATAACTCGAGCTGCGTCACTGACTAAAGAATATTATTTCGTTCTTATTTTGAATGATGCATTTCTGTAAAACGTGGTCTCTCACGATGTAGAATAATACAAGAGAAAGCATCTCGCCCTTTGATGAGCTCCATTGGTTGTGTTGGACCAGTCCATAAGCGATCCTTCAGTTCAGACGGCGAACTTAGTCCTTGGTGCAGAACTTTTATCAGTTTTACCATCACTTGTGGAATCCGTTTGCGACTATTGACATGCCACATTGTCTGGCGATGAACTGAGTCGAAGGCCGCCCAGAAGCGCAAAAACATTATGGAATTTTATGACTGCTTGAGGATTTGTTTGAGTACAAAGTGTTTGTACGTGCATGAGTGCCCACTTTAGAAGGCTGTTTGGTTAGTTCACAGCGAACGATCACTAAATTCTTTTAGTCATCCGAGAATAATTCGCGTGAAGATCATCTGAAGACCTTTACGAAGATTATTTGAGAGTGTAGTACTCGACAGTTAGTTCTTATGAAGATCGGGATTATCACGAGTTTCTTCCAGTCTTTAAGGAATACTGACTTTTGCCTGACGCGGTCAACAGCCAGGAGGATCCATCAAAGAGGGTTTTCATTTTGTATTTTAGGATTGTCGCCAGAATTCTTTAGTTTGCCTTTGCAAACCCATGAAGTGATCAATAGAGACAGTATATGCACGTCTGAAGCATACTGTTAGCTTACTTCCACTGAGCTGCCTGGATATTTGCGGATATCTTATATTTAGCAGCACGTTTTTTGAAGATTAAACCCTGTGCTTCTTATCAGACTGGATAGTCAGTAATCAGGCAGGTGGTTAAGGCGAACTGCGTGCGACCACAGGAAGCAGTCTTATCAAACAGTATTGTTGTACATCTCCCCATTCTGTTATGTGTACACCAGGATGCCCTGCTGCTGCTACCTGTTGTTCGCAAGCTAATGACTTGCCATCCGCTTCACTTCTCAGCTGGTTGCACCGAAGCAACCTTTAGGTGGGTGAATTAGCGGTTAGGAGAAATTATTTCTTTCTCTGTATTGGAACTCCTCACCTCCAGAGTTCGAAACTGACCTCTTGCTTCTGTCTGTCTTATCGCACTCTCTCATTCAGGTGCTACTCTATCACAAAACAGTTTGGAAAAGTATTACGTGCAGTAGATGGTAACCCTTTGCGAAATCCTAAAGGAACGTATTGAAGTAATGTAGAATATCATGTTTAAAGTTAGTTTATTATATTAGTCGTCTGTCGACGATGAGAGCCTAAATTAAATTTATAAAGTGATGCCATTGAAAGACCAACAGCAATGAATTATTGATTTTAGCTTGTTGAAACTGATTTTAAAAATATTTATCTTCACCTAGATTCTGTCCTCTACCTAGATCAAGAAATA